TTAGACATGACGGCTACATCAAAGGAGTACATATGTAATGTTCTTAAATTTAGGTAGGCCGCACTGCAACCAGTTTTTAAGTTTCACGAAAATTAGCGTCTATTTAAAAAGCACATCCGAGACCTGGCGTAGCTCTGTGGTAAAATGTTTCATTGCCATGCAAAATGTTTGGGTTCGATTCCAGCTGGTGCCCTGACATTTATTCTTTGCATCCGTCGGGTTGTGTGTTCTAGCCGTTCCTAGGAACACTAAGTGTATTTATTAACACTCGTGCGTTCAAATTGCCCTCGTGTGTTCTAACCGTTCATAGGAATACTAAGTGTCGATCAAATTTGGCACATACCCGCATACCAGCGGCACATACCCGCCCGTGGGTATGTGCCACTGTCTGGCGGGAAGTGTTTGACGACGTGCGCGACGTTATTTTGACATTATTCATGTCTTGACCAGCGCGTCATATTCGTCAAACAATCTTATTCTTCGATGCTAATTTTGGTTCACGCCAAGTTAATGCGGTGACCGCGAGAGAGAACCCACACGTAAGCGGCTAAATAGATAGATAGATAGATAGATAGATAGATAGATAGATAGATAGATAGATAGATAGATAGATAGATAGATAGATAGATAGATAGATAGATAGATAGATAGATAGATAGATACGCTCAAAGTCGCGGAAGTTCGCTAAGAAATGCTTCGCATTTAAAAATTGGCGCTGCACCGTGCTCGCTACCAGGCTGCAGAAATTAGGCGCCTTCTTCCTCTTCTAACCACTACCACCATCACACATGAAATATCGATGACCCCGGAAGAGGCGGCTGATGCTGTCAACAAAACGTGCAACCGCTAATGGCTCCGTCCAAGAACAGAGAGATGCATGCCATGTCCCTGTGGAAAGCGTCCAGCCACTCTGCTTCACACATTAAGCACCACACGTAAAAAAAGGTTGTTCGCGGCACCTCCGCTGGATTTCCTGATATCTGGTCACGGCACAGGCAGACAACCGGTTCATTAGCAGTGTACCAGAAAAATGGGGAGCCTTTCACCCCCGAAGAGCAACAGCCCCGGGTAGAACTTTTTGCCTGACAGTAACATTCCCAAATGCGTCAGCCGGGATGGTAGGGTGGTGGTAGGGTGTAAGATCGCCAATTAGGTGGCGCCAGGTAGAGCCACGTGACACCAGTTAAAACTGGCGCGACTTTTAAATTCATGCTGATGTACACGGAGCGCTTTCGGGGCCTGTATAAGATGCAAACCGCATGGTTTATAATGAGAAATAAGAAACAGCAATGGCAAGGAAAGCATAATATTTATTTTAGTAGTAATTGTTATTTAACCGTGAAGAAAGAAAAGTGGACGAATAGATGACTTGCCGCCAGCAGGAACCAAACCTGCGATTTTCCAATAACGCGTCCGATGCTCCACAAACCGAGTTACGGTGGCGGTAATCCCCCATCAACTTTATAATGTATAAATGTGCATTTAAATGTGAGAGTGTAGATCAGCGCCAGCAGTAGCCATTACGGTGAATATAGAATTCTTCTTTTTGCCTGTTGGTGTCACGTAGCACGTGATTTTAGTTGCGATCTGCCAGCTGACCAATAATACCGTGCATACTATCTGAAGGCATGAACTTTTCTAGAACGATTTGATTGATATGTGGGGTTTAACGTCCCAAAACCACCATATGATTATGAGGGACGCCGTAGTGGAGGGCTCCGGAAATTTCGACTACCTGGGGTTCTTTAACATGCACCCAAATCTGAGCACACGGGCCTACAACATTTCCGCCTCCATCGGAAATGCAGCCGCCGCCGCCGGGATTCGAACCCGCGACCTGCGGGTCAGCAGCCGAGTACCTTAGCCACTAGACCACCACGGCGGGGCAACTTTTCTAGAACGAGACCCTCGCTAAGAATATAGGAAAGAAATGCCAGTTTGAAGGCTTGTTTCCTTTATTAGACACGCTATTCATGAAACTCTCAGACAAATACAGGCTTGTTATGCATGACAATTATACTGCAGTAATAATGAAAGAAAAATGACGAACATAAGAAGACTACCTTATACCAGAGTCCTCTGTGCTTATACTTAGCTGCATATGAAAAGAGCAAGATGTTCAAGAGTACAATTTTTTCTGCATATTTACATATTTGCCTCTAATTTGTAAAAAAAAAGAACCGAAGTCCATGAAAGAAGTTATTCCACATTTATTGCGCTTACTAAAAAAAACACAGCACAAGAAATTTTGTCTAAATATATAATATCACTAGATTTGGGCACGCTAGACCTTCTGACATCTATTCTCTATGGGCGCTCGAACCGGTAAATATTTTGTTCAGTTAGTGTAGCATACCCACATGTACTTCCGTAAGCATTTTGCATATCTGTAACGCCGTACCACCGCTTAACATCTATCATGGTCACCGATAACCTGTTCAAGCAAGCTTGGTGCGCTGAGCAGCTTTTGATGATTCGTTCAACCACGGCCGCCTGGATCGGCGCGCGCGTCGCGTGCGATCCAGGCGGCCATGGTTTAACCTGCGTGTGAAGGCATTAAAAGCACCATGCGCTAGACGGCAAACATCTGGTATTTTAAAAATATCGCGCACTTCAAACAATGGCGGGGAAACAATTAAGCAACACAGTTATCTTTCCGTAGATTGAAAATCTTCTTATCGCTGGATAAGCACTAAATGTTCCAGGCGGCCATCCAGGCGGCCAGGCGGCCATGGTTTAACCTGCGTGTGAAGGCATTAAAAGCACCATGCGCTTGACGGCAAACATCTGGTATTTTAAAACTATCGTGCACTTCAAACAATGGCGCGAAAACAATTAAGCAACACAGTTATCTTTCCGTAGATTGAAAATCTTCTTATCGCTGGATAAGCACTAAATGTTTTGTATTAGATATTTTTTTTCTCTAGAGTTACTATAAAAAGTTAATAAAATAATTTTTATATACAGTGTTTGGCGGATAGGGAAAAATATTCTCACGTGCTATTTATGACTCGGGACAATATCGCGTTAATGATGTTTAATATTTTATTAGTATGTTCTTTAGAGCTGACACACCCTGTACATGCATGGTTATGCTGCTGACATGCCTGGATAATCGAGTGGCTACGACGCTAGTTGAAGTTTATTATTATATCTAGACTCATGAGAATACACGTGACATGTTACGTAAGTGTTACACCAGCAGGTGTCATACGGGCACTTTCAATCGCGATCAGGGCTGTCCGTATCGGTTTTTTTCATCGCGATCAATATTATGACCACTGCTGCACAGCCCAAGCTGATCCTGTTCGAACTTGCGTCAGATGAAATGCACCAGATGACATCTGCGTGCCGTAAAACATGCCACTGACAAAAATTGACGCACGATATTTCTATGGAGCTCTTTATCGGCAGCGTTATTCGTGCAACAACCACTCGAACGTCAAAACCTTTGCGGGCCACTAAAAGAATAATTTCATAAATCTATTATACGATACAGTTGCCCTTGCACTTACCTTATACTAATGTTTGAGGTTCTGAACCTTCGCTTTTGTTTCTGATGGCCCCCACTCGTAGCCGTCCAGCCGCAGCGAAGCGTCAGTCTCGTTGTACGCGCCAGAGTTTCACTTCTGGCGCCTCAAGTCTTCCAGTTGCTCCTGCTAGCGGTCAATCACTGTAAAAGTCTTTTCATTCAACCTCGAAGCGTGCGTACATTTCGCCGTAGTCGAAAGGCTTGTGACACTCATAATCAGTTTTCTTCGAGGTGCTCCAACAGGTCCGACGGTGCGAGAGTTTAATTAAGGGCGGAAGGCAACGGTCGACTGCTTGTCGCCTGCTTCTTCCGTAACTATACATGCGGTCGATACGAATCTTGAAATATGCAATATTTCGAATATTGTTCCAATTCAAACAGTTCAGAACTTGCTTTTTTCATAAACATCTAGCTGTATTAAAGTGTTTTTATTGAACTATGCTCGAATTTTTTGGCTCACTGTGCTTTCAACAAGCTCGGCTAGGGGGCGCAGATGACAGCGAAATCACGATCTCTCAGGCAGATAGAAATAGTCGCGATTCCGATCACGCCTGACCGTGATTAAATTTGACCATGTAGCAGCACCTTATCCGGATCGTTCTAAAATCCGCATCGACACTGTTCGCGATTAAAGGCACACGCATGACACCGGCATTAAAAGGTCCCAAAGTAAACGCTGTCAAGGGGACCCGCTAGCCTCTAGCGATATTGTGTTGATTGAATACAGGGCAGGTAAGTGGCGAGCAAAAGGAAAATATATTAAAAACACGCATCTGAAAAAAGAGCAAACAGGAAGCATATGCTAAAAGGGTGAATCGCAACAATAGAGAAAGCAAAGCTATAACACTCCAAAGGAAGTCAGTAAACAACACAAATACTTTCAAAATGACAACTAGACATCAGAATGAAATCAAAAAGGCAAGAATGAAACAATAAAAATGAGAAGGGTGATACGAGACTTTTCTGAAAGACTCTGCAGTGAAACCATGAAATTTTGGCATAAAATTTCAAATAAATGCTTCACCCTAAGCGCTCAACGAATCTGACTGACGCAATGGTCTCAATATAACAATGGTGAATTGTTATATTGGAATGATATCTGGTTTCTATATCTGTTTACTACATCCTTGATTTCCACTTCTCTTACAATTTCTACATTGCAGGGGAGACACTGTGAATAAATACACACTTAATTTACCCTAATCACGCTTTATCTAGTTTTTATCACTTGTTTTTTATGCCTGTAAATGACAAAGAAGTTAGCGTAATAGGAAAAAATATTTTATTATTGTGAGGACTTGGGAGCGAGCAGCAAGTCGCATCGCCCGTTGAGAAAGCGAGCGCAAGATGCTCGCCTTGTTTGACGCACTTTTTCAAAGAAGTCTGGCCACTTACTTAAACGTACAAGCTTTCGGCCAAGCTCGAAGCCGATCCAATAGTCGTAGTCGCTTTTTTTTTTTTTTTTAGCTGGCGCTGCACAGACTGAGCAGACGGAGTTCCTTCGCCTGTTTGTCTGTGTTATCGTTTCTCGGCTGGGGCGAAGGAATGTCCCAAATAAGGGGACGACGATGCGTGCAATGAGCAACGTCCGTCGAGGTCGAGTTAATCGTGTTTATTGTGTGCCTTACTGGACAACGTCGTGACGGCCTCGAGAGGCTCGAAGCTAATGCTCCTCTCGGACGATGAGTAGGCGGTCGGAACGATTGCCCGCTGAGCGGCCGACGGTCGAGGGCTCGGACAGACCCAGCCGATCGCCGGCCGACGGCGGCGATTTGGACGCGGACGCAGACGAACTCGAGCGGTTGCGCTGTTCGAGCGTGCAAACAGAGCAAGTGATCGCCGAGCGCAACCGACGCAACGCTCGGCAGCCCAGTGCTGGTTACCCGGGATTGGCGTTCGGCGGCTCCATCTTCTCGTCCAACACGCTGATGCGCTTCAGGATAATCGCCAACGAGCTGCACAACATCACCAACGTGCAGCTCAAGCGCGCCGAAGGCGAAGTGTCTGCGCTGCGAAACCGCATCAACGCGCTAGAAGAGAACCTGAGTCGCGAAGAGACGGAACTGCGCCAGGCGAGTCGGGAGGTGTCAGTCGCCAGGATGGAAAGTCAACAAGACGACGACGACGGCAACGAAGGGGACGGTGAGATGTCCCTGATCGACACTCAGCTGATCGAGTCTAAACTCAGGTACGAGGCCATGGCCCGGCAGATCGCTCTCATCGATGCCCAGTTCGAACCGACCAAGCCAGCAGCTTCGCCGTGTGGTGCCGAAAACGACTCAAGCTCTGTGGCGTCGACGTCAGACGCCGCACCTGTTTGACTTTACTGCTGTGTTTCGCATCGTCAACTGCGGGGCGGAAATGTAAGCATGTTGTTGCCGTGTGTGGCAACGGAAGTAACGCTCGCAACGCTTTTAAGGTTGGTAAAGTAGGAAAATTGCGGGCGTTAAATGGCATGTGATATGTAACGAATCCCACACCAGTTGGGCGTTTTGGTGGTTTGATCGAAAGCAGGTTGAAGATGGCCGAAAGTAGCGCTGTCGCTGCACCTACGAGTGGCTCAATATTTTATCATGTGTGTGCCCCCTGCATCGATATACCTATTCTTAAACTCTTAACTTCGCTCAAGTGCAGTAGGTGTTTCTGTTTGCTCTGCTGTTAAAGGGCTTCCAGCTATCCTGTCATTGCTGGAGGAGCATGCTGGTGTTGACAGTCGCTCATGACAGTAAAGTGAACTCACTGAGGCATATGTACTTGGGCTTGCAGCCAGTGGTAACCACAAAGCCAAACACTAATATCATGCAGAGTATGAAAAAAAAATGCTAGAAGCAAAACACTGATATCATGCAGAGTAGGAAAAAAGAACTGCTAGAAGCAGCTCGAAAAGCTTTGTAGGGTATGCGACAGCAACTTCTGGTGTTATAAAGTGCATAAAGCAATATTGAATTGCAATTGGAGAGATGGATTTGAGTGCAATATTTGGACAAGGCACTAATGTAGCAATTATTTGTCTTATTTAGGCAATGGAGCATGACGTTCTAGTTCTTCCCTTATAGGTTAGCCATATCTCTTCAAAAAGCCGTATGGCTACACCAAATGTTAGAAATTTTATATATATTTATTATACTTAAGTTGACTATTTTATATCATGTTTATCTCAGTGACTGATGCAACTGCAATGGGGCCATCAACAATGATCTGAATGGGGAATATCTTCGTAGAATGGAAGGAATATTACGAACTCTTTATTGGTGTTCATCATTGTTTGAAAAGCATGCTAATGAGTATCATTATCCAAGCCACGAGTATCAGTGTCCAAGCCACGGAGCAAAAATGGTCCCAGCATACGGTGCCTCTTTTTTTTTTTTTTTTTGCCGCTTTGTGACACAGCAGCATAATCTTCTTTCTGTGCTTTTAGTGGCAGTCTTTGTACGACGAGTGCACATGCAGATATCGCAAAACAAACGTGTCAACTCAGCCTTCCGCTCGTGATAACATCGAGCTCTTACTCCGGTTATCTCTGGCACCAACACTTCAAAGGCTGTTTTTAGGAAAGCTCTTTCTGTCTAGTGCCTGAATGGTGTTGTGGCATCTCTAAATTACAGTATTTTCTTAATCCACGTGGAGCTTTTGACATGTGGACAATTGTACTCTCAAAAGTTCTGCAGCCACAACTGGAGAAACCTCTTTTAGTAGCGAAGACAATGTCAGTTTTTATGATGCATTCTTTTTTTATATATGCTGTCTGCTACCCAAAAGCAAGTGCCTTAAGTCAGGCCCTATGCACAGTCAGAGATGTCTGAAATCTCTGAACAGGGAGATATCATAGCCTTTGTGCCTTACACTTTATATGCTCAGAGAGATATCATAGCCTTTGTGCCTTAAATAATATACAATTATTTTCGTGTGACATAATTGTGAGAAAACTATTTCTAAAATTGCTAAATATATATGGGACATCAAGTATACACAGTAGACCTGAGGCGATGATGTCTAAGTAGCTGTGCAATGCAGAACGTTTTGACCATACGGACATAAGAATCACTCCAGCCTAGTTATGTTTTCCCTGCGACTTAAGGCTGCTTTGTAATAATGTGTATTGTGTATTTTATGAATACCGTGAGTGCCTGAATGATGATGTGCCTTCTAAACATGTAAAGTTGCACAAAGAAATTTGTTGTGATGGATAAGGAATGTTCATATGTATAGTGCTACCTACAGAAACTTTTTGAACATGGGAAGTCTATGAATGTTTAAAGTCATGGGCAGACACTGAGAGAATTCAGAGCATGCATATTTGTAGCTTTTGTAGTGCTCCTCTGAATTTTTGTATGTGAAACTAAACCGTTTGGTAAATCAGTTTTAAAGTGATACCTTGTTTAGCTACATGTATTCAATTTGCTTTCAGCATATCTTTTGTAGTGATATATATTGTTTCCCACGTCGATTCTGTGCTGTTCCAAAAAAATATGAGGCTTCAGTTGAAAAGTTCATATTGCAGGTTTTTAGTTTGTTGAAAATTGACTGGCACACTACAAAGGAAATTATTTGTCACTGTAGCAATTATTCATGGTTTAGTGTAAAAAAAAGTCTCTTCAAACACTGTTGTATATTAAAAATGAGCAGCTGTGTTTGAACAAGATAGCAGTTTTAGAGTACTGAAGCGGCACTCAATTGGTACAGTTATGCTCGCAGTTAGACAGAACTCATCTTTATAAAGTATAGATACGGTGATTTCTTTCTGTCTTGCTACAACGCTATTTGGCATCTCATGGTTACACATACCAAAGACTGTGGTTAATGTAAGCTGTGAGCATAGTCAGTTTATGGATGTGCTGCACTATTTAGTGTCTTGATGGCACTGTCTTGAGGAGTTTATTTAATACAGCCTTTAAACCTCACAGAGCAGCCTTTATATCTTTTGATCTTTACAACACCAGTGGCATTTTGTGATTACGGCCACACGTTAGTTCCTTGCTTAGTACTGCTGCGGTATCCACAGCATTTTGCCTGGGTGGCAGCTCTCGCATGGCTCCGAGATTGAAACTCGGCATTGCAACTCTTGTGCTTTTGAAGTAGTGTCACGAGCATGTCATGCAACAATTCCTGCCTCAGTTTACTTGTACTCTCTTGCCAATTTTAGTGTTTGCATATGTTAACTGTTTGTATTTTAGCCTCACAGTGTGAGTTACAGTGGTCCTAACCACCAGGGTATAGAGACACTAAAGGGACGTCAAAAGTCAAGATTACTTGTCGTATTTTTACAAATTGCAAACATGTTGGCTTTACCAGGGGCACAGGTTTTATAAACTAGGGAATTGTACTTGAAGAGAAGTTGCAGTACCAGCTTAAAAATTACCACAGCAGCGTTCTTTGACATAATCTCATCAACAACTGACAGCACAGGCAAGCTGAGTCCGAACCATTTTCACAGGGTGAGGAAGAGTTGTCCGGAAACTCGCGTTTTCCTCCTTTCTGGTGTGTAAACGGCCTAAATTACACGTGCAGATATGCGCAAAGCAACTCAGAACTCTCGTGTCGATGCAAGGGTTAGTGTTTGCGCATTTGTGTTGTCAAACCAGAGAGCTCCGCCCTCCAAGCAACATGGCTGTGGCCATGAGAAAACTGTCGATACCTTGAATATTCTTTGATATCGACCTTTGGGAGGCCTTTCTTTCTTACTCCTTTTCGTAGTGTATACGCTCAAAATTGCAGAAACAATATGGCGCGAGATAACTTGCATAATTCAGGATTAATGGTCAAAAGTGCAGCCATTGTGGTTACTGCATAAATGATTATTAGTTGCGTCTGATCTACCGTTTCCTTTTAGTGTCGTCTGGTGTGGTATTGTGCTTATAGCATTTTAAGCAAAAGTCACGAGTAGTGAGCTATTCAAATGGACATGTTGCGTCTAATAGGTAGTTACTAGTATGTATACTCGCAGCTCCAGCATTGCAGTTCAACCACTGTCGAATATAACAGCGTTGGACGATCATTCCTGCCGCATTGCATAACTTGTATCAAGATAGTGAGACAGTTATTATGACAGTTTGCAGACAGCTGCTGTCTACCCGTGGCACTTGTCTCATTTTTATTACTCTCAGCGTTGGGTGAAGTGGGAGTGTTCATACTGAGCGTGTGTTACTGAGTGTATCAGTTTTTAATGGGCAGTGTCTTGTTTTTGTGTGGTTTGGTCCTTAGCACTTTGTTGTGACAATGCAGCACCGTGTTTTACGAAAACCAGCATACCTTATCCGTTAAATGTCACTGTTATAAAGGTGCAAAGCGAAATATCCACTACTAAAAGTTGCGAAATTATGCGTCGTGATACAGAACAGGGTGTCGAGCGTGTGTGTTAGTCTGCCTAAAAGAACTGCATTTCTAAGGAAAAAGAAGCAATCAGTTGCAAAAATATGGATATATGCTCTTCAATACTCGCATGATTTGAAAGTCTGTTCACCTGGTAGAACTATAAAACGAACAAAACTTCAAATCTATAGCAGTTTGCTTGAACATTGTAGTGAAAAAAAAAAAACACTGCCGTGCAACCACATGCATATTAAATATAGAATGTTTATGTAGTAATTTAGTATGAAAGCCAATCTTCAAAGCATTTAGTAAATGCAACCATGGAGAACTATTATATTTACAAGAGCAATAACATTGTGTTACAAGAGCGCTGGGAGAACAGTCTTTATATTCCTCGCTACGGCAACATGGTCTGTTCAGCATATGTCAGTTTTATTGTAGAAAGTTAGTCCCATTGCCAGTACGCCATCCCGGTGCCGTTTACGGATTCTTGTTACGGAAGTGTGCGGATTTATGTAAGGCCTGTTCCCTACAATAGAACTTAGTCGCAGGTGAGAATGTATTGCATTATCTATAATGATTACATTGGTGACATCATTTACTTGTCCTTTAGTGCGTTGTGCGCATAGGCGTAAGCGAGGTTCTCCAAGAGGGGGTGGGGGTCTCCCGTGTGCAATCGCCGGTCAAGGCGACCGAATTTAATTGGTTTCCACACGTGTGTGTCAGGTGCGAGTATATACTAACCATTCGTTAGTGTGAAACTTTATGAGTGCGACAACCCATTAGCTTCTGTAGACACGCTTACATCCCAGTTTATCTCCGTGCAGCTATAAGATCCTCCTAAGTGACGATTGATTGGATTGCGCTCGTCGAAAGCATTGAAGCGCTTGTCTGACAACGATGCAGTTTCAGGCACAGGCCCGCGTGACATTAGGACTTCTAGTGTAACGTGAGATAGGGTGAACCCCACGCCCTGCGCGGCCGGAGGGAATCCCGCATGCTGGAACCCAATAAAGTTTATTCTCTCTCTCTCTCAGGCACGAAGAGTTATCAATCGAAGTAGCTTTTCATCGGTGTGAAATTCGCAGAGGCTCCTTAAATTCGAGTATACACGGTACACGGTGGTTGAACGAATGCAGCATCGATTTACGCGTTTTATTGTAAAGCTCCCTGCTGTCGCGCGTTGCTTTGGCCGTGACGCACATTGTGAAATTCTCGAACGTCTGAGTTACAAGTTCGATTGTGCTTGCACGCATTATCGCGAACGACATGTTGCGTGCATTCTCTTCTCGTGGACAAAAAAAAAAAAAGCAAAGTTCAAGGAAAGAAGTTGCTTTATTTTTCTTGCGTATGCGTGCGGCGGAGGCCCCGCGTTTCGAACCACTTTCGCCCGTGACGAATCGCTGTGCCGGTTCGCGAAGAAAGCGTGTCGCACCGCGTGCACAGTGGGAGGGACGCCCTCGCGCAGATGCATTGTTACGTTGTACATCCCCCGTTCCTCCTTTATTTTTTTTATGCATTGTTACGTGAACTCGTTGTTGGAAAGCAGTAATGGACGCGCGTGTCGAGGAATTGTCGTTTTGCTTATACCTATAAATTTTCGAAGAGCGGTTGGTGTAAATGTTGTATCGTCTGCGGTGTTTTCGATTATTTTGTATATGTATATAAAAATTTACATTAAAGATGTCTGAAAGTGTGGTTTCTTTTCTTTTTTTTTTTACTGTTCCGTCACAGAACGTACCAAACTGAAATTGCATTGCTGGTCTTCTTTTTGCTCTATATACCGTGCATGTGTAAGAGTGGGGATAGGGAAGAAACATGCAATGCTATTGCAAAGGTACATTATGAAAAAAAAAAGGTAAATACGTTTTTTTTTCTTCTACAAATGCTGCTTTCAGTGTTTTGTGAATCACTCAATGAAGTATTCTGATTATGGTGTTCGGAAGTCGACTGCATGGCGCGCATGGCAGCAGACAAGAATTAGTGCACATACAATTTAATATGCTTCTATTTTGTCCTCTTAGTCATCGGTGAAAATAGAACTTAGCACACACTATGTAATCTGACTGGTAAATATGTTCTAAACCTGTTGGAAATACACGCTAATTAACGCCGATTTCTATGTGGTATAGGTTACATCGAAGGGAGTCTCGGAAGGAAAAACTTGTAACAGGGTGTTGCTTGAGTTAAGTGGAATGTGTGACGGAAGTGACGCAGCAGGAGATATTGCGCATGAGCGCAGCCACCTCTAACGTTGCACGTTGTATATAGAAACACAGTTCGTTTTGTCCGAATGGTGAGGCATAGTGTGATGACAGTACGTATCTTCATCGATTTCCGTAGAGTTAGTATTGAACGTTGCGGTCCGTTTTGCGATATTCACGAGACCTGGTGCTTTTCGGCCCTCCTAGCGGCCAGGTACTCCTGTATCTCGAGTCTCCTGTAGTGCTGCCGCCAGTTGGCGGACACGATGGCCAAATACGCGCAGAAGTTGACCAGTACGGTGACGAGAGTAAACCAGGAGCCGTCGGACATGCCCAAAACTTTGAGGTGAAAGGGAAAAAAAAGAAAGAAAAGCAATCACTCTGCAAACGTCATATACATGAAAAAAATACACGATTTCGCCTGTACTGCACCATGCAGCTCTACACACCGCGCATATATGCCTGCAAACTAATTACTACTTCGGACTTTCAATCGAAGTATGTCACAACCTACAGAATCCAGTATACGACCATTGCCCACAAGACCACACCATACATCGCTCTGCACAATGCTTACACTATAAACTTTGGCTCTGCCTGCGTTACTATGCCCTGTGACTGTATAGTCTTTAAATTGAAAAGCCAAACAGTTGTTGTGGTCTAGCGTAACAAAAATCACCATACGATTAAGAGAGACGCCGTTGTGCATGGCTCCGGAAATTTCAAGCACCTGGGGTTCTTTAACATGAACCTAAATTTAAGCATGCAGGGCCTCCAACATTTTCGCCTCCATCGCCTCAGCCATATAAAGTCGTGAAAATGAGGCGGAGCATTTGCAAGATTACTATTCGGGCCAGACCGTGTGCATTTGCGGACTGCGTTCTCACAGGTTGCCACCAGCTTCATCACATTTGCTTGGGATGTTCTTAGAGAGGTATAAGAGAAAATATAGAGAAGGGGAGGGGTGCAGCAAATTATGCTGATGACTGCACTGAACGAACTTCGATGGCGTACACATATGTGTCGTGCAAATATGAAAAACCAACAGGATCTGCTACTGAGCTAAAATAGCGTTTCTTTAACGCTTTCAACGTTTTTTTTTTTTTTTCAACGTCTTTGTTCCGAACCGGGACAAGGACATTGAAGCGTCTGTCTTCACGTCCCTCAAGAGTATCTGTACGTATCCAATCGTCGACCCGCGCGATAGACCGGACGTCGGAGGTAAACTTGTTGGTACGAACACGCACACTGTGTGCCTCTAATCGCGTTAATAATTTGATCCACTGTATAGCGCATCCTATCATTGTGAACCGGGAGCTCGTAGCGGCCCCGAGAACGTCGTTTAGCTAACTCAAAGCGAGTGCTTGTTTATTTAGACCAATCCTGCGAGGTCGTAGCGAGAATTTCGTTTTCAAGCGGGAGGTACGGATGGTTCGAGCACCTTTTGCGCACGTTTGCAAGTGTGTTTGTAAGTGCGCGTGTCCATATTTATAAACATGTGAAGTATAAAATTTCGGGGACGAGTAGTCCTTTCTGGTCCCCGTCCCCGCTGTTCCTGGTATACGCCAAGTATAGTTGATCCTTGCAACTCTTCGCGGAATGTTGCATTGTCTGCACACCGGGGGTTGGCAACCTTTTGAGGCAGTAGGCCAATTTGCATGAAGCTGGCACTGTTGGGGCCTGGCATTAATTGAAGGGGGAAGCGGACTGTGTGGAAAGAATTCGGCGAACTGACATTAATGAACCGAACTGCCCACGTTGTGGCTAAATTTTTTTTTTCTAAATTCTGTTTTGAGGCGATCTTTCTTTGTTCCTGTCGAAGGCCTCTGACGTCAGAAGTGTAATGCTGGCCTTCAGAAAAGAAGTTACGAGGTGAAGGGAATATAAAAGATACAAGGGGCCGGATAACACTGCCCGGTGGGCCACATGTGGCCCTCGTGGCGCTTATTTGAGAACCTTGGAGGATGTAAGCACGGTATTCGTTGGCTGACTCATTGTTCAGAACAAAAAAAAAAAAGCTTTATGTGTATCGCAAGGTGTGTGGTTTCGTGTATAGGTGATCCGTTAGTATACACTGTCAGTTCGATATACTTGCATAGGACTGACGCAGATGGATGCTACAGCGGCACAAATGGAGCTGCAGTGACCACGTGGCCGTTCAGGAGTTGGCGTGCTACTTGAATGCGCTTTCGGGCTATAAATACAGAGCGCCGTCTGTGAGCACCAGACGTGTGATTGTAAAGTCTCGGCGAACTTCATTGCTTTCTTCTCCCATATATGGCAGGCGCGCGCGTGCGTCGTAAAAAAATTATTGTTTCCCCTCTCTCGGCACTTATAGGTGGCCCAAGCTGGGCAGGTAATGACGTCACGGCAGTGGTTCAGATGATTAGCAGCAATTAGGCTGAGCGCAAGAGTTTCGCGTTCATGCCCAGCTATCTGAATGGCCCAAACGCCCGCGTTATAACTTAAAAAAAAGGCAATAAAATAAGGGAGCAATACTGACCTCGTCTTTCTTTTGCCTTCTTCACTGTAAGCGCCGCCAGAGAAAGAAAATAGAAATAAAACAATAATGACAGCGGCGATACAAAAGGTGTGGGATACGTCGGAAGCACTTAAAAATATATGAATTCACGTATACACATGAAACATTATGAGTTAAAGAAAAAAAAAGATGAAACAGTTGGGACGACAATGTAACTGCCGTCGTAACAGAAGCAATCAATGGCAGTTGAGCAACACTATATCATGCACACTATATATCACGCAGTTTGTGACGCGCTGTTAATTGCCTGACTGCGCCCATGCCCACGTTGCAACTTTGAATTATCAGCTTATCTCGTATCCAGCTATCTATAATGGCACCGCTATCATGACTGCTGTGTTCTGCCATACTCGTATACGTGTGTATGTATACTGGCCGCAGACTTCCTTGCGGTCAGGAATTTTCCTCCCATGGATATTTTCTCCTAGGTATACAAGCCCGTCAACATTACCGGAATTGGTGCGATTTTCT